GGTGACCAGGGTGTTAGTGTCAGAACCGTGTGTTAGTACCACAGTGACCAGGGTGGTAGTGTCAGAACCGTGTGTTAGTACCACAGGGACCAGGGTGGTAGTGGTGGTAGTGTCAGAACCGTGTGTTAGTACCCACAGTGACCAGGGTGGTAGTGTCAGCACCGTGTGTTAGTACCACAGGGACCAGGGTGGTAGTGTCAGAACCGTGTGTTAGTACCCACAGTGACCAGGGTGGTAGTGTCAGAACCGTGTGTTAGTACCACAGTGACCAGGGTGGTAGTGTCAGAACCGTGTGTTAGTACCACAGTGACCAGGGTGGTAGTGTCAGAACCGTGTGTTAGTACCCACAGTGACCAGGGTGGTAGTGTCAGAACCGTGTGTTAGTACCCACAGTGACCAGGGTGGTAGTGTCAGAACCGTGTGTTAGTACCCACAGTGACCAGGGTGGTAGTGTCAGAACCGTGTGTTAGTACCACAGTGACCAGGGTGGTAGTGTCAGAACCGTGTGTTAGTACCCACAGTGACCAGGGTGGTAGTGTCAGAACCGTGTGTTAGTACCCACAGTGACCAGGGTGGTAGTGTCAGAACCGTGTGTTAGTACTACAGTGACCAGGGTGGTAGTGTCAGAACCGTGTGTTAGTACCACGGTGACCAGGGTGGTAGTGTCAGAACCGTGTGTTAGTACCCACAGTGACCAGGGTGGTAGTGTCAGAACCGTGTGTTAGTACCACAGTGACCAGGGTGGTGGTGTCAGAACCGTGTGTTAGTACCACAGTGATCAGGGTGGTAGTGTCAGAACCGTGTGTTAGTACCACAGTGACCAGGGTGGTAGTGTCAGAACCGTGTGTTAGTACCCACAGTGACCAGGGTGGTAGTGTTGGTAGTGTCAGAACCGTGTGTTAGTACCACAGTGACCAGGGTGGTAGTGTTAGAACCGTGTGTTAGTACCACGGTGACCAGGGTGGTAGTGTCAGAACCGTGTGTTAGTACCCACAGTGACCAGGGTGGTAGTGTCAGAACCGTGAGTTAGTACCAGAGTGACCAGGGTGGTAGTGTCAGAACCGTGTGTTAGTACCACAGTGACCAGGGTGGTAGTGTCAGAACCGTGTGTTAGTACCCACAGTGACCAGGGTGGTAGTGTCAGAACCGTGTGTTAGTACCCACAGTGACCAGGGTGGTAGTGTCAGTACCGTGTGTTAGTACCACAGTGACCAGGGTGGTAGTGTCAGAACCGTGTGTTAGTACCACAGAGACCAGGGTGGTAGTGTCAGAACCGTGTGTTAGTACCCACAGTGACCAGGGTGGTAGTGTCAGAACCGTGTGTTAGTACCACAGGGACCAGGGTGGTAGTGTCAGAACCGTGTGTTAGTACCCACAGTGACCAGGGTGGTAGTGTCAGAACCGTGTGTTAGTACCCACTGTGACCAGGGTGGTAGTGTCAGAACCGTGTGTTAGTACCCACAGTGACCAGGGTGGTAGTGTCAGAACCGTGTGTTAGTACCACAGTGACCAGGGTGGTAGTGTCAGAACCGTGTGTTAGTACCCACAGTGACCAGGGTGGTAGTGTCAGAACCGTGTGTTAGTACCCACAGTGACCAGGGTGGTAGTGTTAGAACCGTGTGTTAGTACCAGAGTGACCAGGGTGGTAGTGTCAGAACCGTGTGTTAGTACCTCAGTGACCAGGGTGGTAGTGGTGGTAGTGTCAGAACCGTGTGTTAGTACCACGGTGACCAGGGTGGTAGTGTCAGAACCGTGTGTTAGTACCACAGGGACCAGGGTGGTAGTGTCAGAACCGTGTGTTAGTACCCACAGTGACCAGGGTGGTAGTGTCAGAACCGTGTGTTAGTACCCACTGTGACCAGGGTGGTAGTGTCAGAACCGTGTGTTAGTACCCACAGTGACCAGGGTGGTAGTGTCAGAACCGTGTGTTAGTACCACAGTGACCAGGGTGGTAGTGTCAGAACCGTGTGTTAGTACCCACAGTGACCAGGGTGGTAGTGTCAGAACCGTGTGTTAGTACCCACAGTGACCAGGGTGGTAGTGTTAGAACCGTGTGTTAGTACCAGAGTGACCAGGGTGGTAGTGTCAGAACCGTGTGTTAGTACCTCAGTGACCAGGGTGGTAGTGGTGGTAGTGTCAGAACCGTGTGTTAGTACCACGGTGACCAGGGTGGTAGTGTCAGAACCGTGTGTTAGTACCACAGTGACTAGGGTGGTAGTGGTGGTAGTGTCAGAACCGTGTGTTAGTACCAAAGTGACCAGGGTGGTAGTAGTGGTAGTGGTGGTAGTGGTGGTAGTGTTGTTGGTAGTAGTGTTGGTAGTGGTGTTGTTGCTGTTGTTGGTGGTGGTGTTGTTGGTGGTGTTGGTGTTGTTGGTGTTGTTATTGTTGGTGTTGGTGGTGTTGTAGTTGTTGGTGGTGGTGTTGTTGTTAGTGGTGTTGTTGGTGTTGGTGGTGTCAGACCACGTGATCTGCGTCCTTGTTGACTCTAGGGCTCCAGTTTCAACTTCCTCGGCCCGCGGCTGTCACCCAACACCGATGCAGCTGCCTCAACATCATCATCACATCATCATCATCACATCATCATCATCACATCATCATCATCACAGCATCATCATCACAGCATCATCAGCATCATCATCACAGCATCATCATCATCACAGCATCATCATCATCACATCATCATCATCATTACAGCATCATCATCATCACATCATCATCAGCAGCACGTGCATGATGATGATGCAGCTGCATCAGTGTTGTCGGTCTGTCACCCGACACCGATGCAGCTGCATCAGTCTCGGGTGACAGCCGACACTGATGCAGCTGCATCATCATCATGCACGTGCTGCTGATGATGCTGTGATGATGATGATGCTGTGATGATGATGATGATGCTGTGATGATGATGATGATGCTGTGATTGATGATGATGATGCTGTGATGATGATGATGATGCTGTGATGATGATGATGATGATGCTGTGATGATGATGATGATGCTGTGATGATGATGATGATGCTGTGATTGATGATGATGATGCTGTGATGATGATGATGCTGTGATGATAATGATGATGCTGTGATGATGATGATGATGCTGTGATGATGATGATGCTGTGATGATGATGATGCTGTGATGATGTGATGATGATGATGCTGTAATGATGATGATGATGATGTGATGATGATGCTGTGATGATGATGCTGTGATGATGATGATGCTGTAATGATGATGATGCTGTGATGATTATGCTGTGATGATGATGCTGTGATGATGATGATGCTGTAATGATGATGATGCTGTGATGATTATGCTGTGATTATGATGCTGTGATGATGATGATGCTGTGATGATTATGATGCTGTGATGATGATGCTGTAATGATGATGATGCTGTGATGATGATGATGCTGTGATGATTATGCTGTGATGATGATGCTGTGATGATGATGATGATGCTGTGATGATTATGATGCTGTGATGATGATGCTGTGATGATGATGATGATGCTGTGATGATGATGATGATGCTGTGATGATTATGATGCTGTGATGATTATGATGCTGTGATGATGATGCTGTAATGATGATGATACTGTGATGATGATGCTGTTATGATGATGCTGTAATGATGATGATGTGATGATGATGATGCTGCAGCTGCAGCTGCTGTGATGACGATGCTCGAGGCGGGGCTGCTGTGTGTGTGTATTAAAGGCGTTGGCAGCGGTGGGGTAGAGGGAGACACAACGAGCTAACAGAGACACACAGAGACAGACAGAGACACACAGAGAGACACAGAGACACACAGAGAGACACACACAGAGAGACACACAGAGACACACAGAGAGACACACAGAGAGACACACACAGAGAGACACACACACAGAGACACACAGAGAGACACACACACAGAGACACACAGAGAGACACACAGAGAGACACACACAGAGAGACACACAGAGAGACACACACAGAGAGACACACAGAGATACAGAGACACAGAGATACAGAGATACAGACACAACTACCACTACCTACAACCACTACTAACACAACCACTACTACCACTACTACCACTACCTACAACCACAACTACCACCACTACAACAACTACCACTACCTACAACTACCACAACCACTACTACCACTACTACAACAACAACTACCACTACCTACAACCACAACTACCACTACCTACAACCACTACTACCACTACCTACAACTACCACCACAACCACTACCTACTACCACTACTACCACAACTATCACTACTATCACCACCACTACTACTACTACCACTACTACTACCACTACCTACAACTACTACCACTACTACTACCACTACTACTACTACCACTACCACCACTACTACTACCACTACTACTACCACTACTACTACCACCACTACTACCACTACTACTACCACTACTACCACTACTACTACTACCACTACTACCACTACCACCACTACTACCACCACTACCACCACTACTACTACTACCACTACTACTACCACTACTACTACCACCACTACTACCACTACTACTACCACTACTACCACTACTACTACCACCACTACTACTACCACTACTACTACCACCACTACTACTACCAGTACTACCACTACTACTACCACTACTACAACAACCACCACAACCACAACCACTACTACCACCACTACCTACTACCACTACTACCACTACTAATACCACTACTACTACCACCACTACTACTACCACTACTACTACTGCCACTACCTACAACCACTACCACTACTACCACTACTACTACCACCACTACTACCACCACTACCTACTACCACTACTACCACTACTAATACCACTACTACTACCACCACTACTACTACCACTACTACTACTACCACTACCTACTACCACTACCACCACTACTACCACTACCACTACTACCACCACTACCACTACAACCACTACCACTACTACCACTACTACTACTACCACTACCTACAACCACTACTACCACTACCACTACAACCACAACTACCTACCACTACCTTCTACCACGACTATCACCACCACTACCACCACTGCGTGGTATCCATGGCGACGTTCCGGGCCACGGCCAAGCGCAGGCTCCGTGTGGAACCCCTGGCTGGGCACGAGGGAGAAGCGGCTTCCTTGTTGCAGGGGGGGGCCCAGAGCCCCCCACTAGTGGGGGCCCAGAGCCCCCCACTAGTGGGGGCCCAGAGCCCCCCACTAGTGGGGGTCCAGAGCCTCCCACTAGTGAAGGGACCCCCTCGAGGGAAGGGGGTCAAGGGTGGAACCATCTGGGGCTTTGGATACCTCGAGGTGAGATCCACCTACAGCTACACTACACTATACACTACTACTACATTACTATACTACACTATACACTACACTATACACTACACTATACACTACACTATACACTACTACTACATTATTATACTACACTATACACTACACTATACACTACTACTACATTATTATACTACACTATACACTATAGTATACACTACTACACTACACTATACACTACTACTGCATTACTATACTACACTACTACACTATACACTACTACTACATTATTATACTACACTATACACTACACTATACACTATACACTACACTATACACTACACTATACACTACGCTATACACTACACTACACACTACACTATACACTACACTACACTATACACTACACTACACCACTTCCACACTACACCTACACTACACCTACACTACACTATACACTACACCTACACTACACGTACAACTACACTATACACTACACTATACACTACACTATACACTACACCTAAAACTACACTAAACACTACACTACACTATACACAACACTACACCTACACTACGCTACTATACACTACACTATACACTACACTACTATACACTATTCACTACAACTATACACTACACACTACACTATACACTACACTATACACTACACCTACACTATACACTATACACTACACTATACACTACACTATACACTACATTAAACACTACTATACACTACACTATACACTACACTATACACTACACTATACACTACATTAAACACTACTATACACTATTATACACTATACACTACACTATACACTACACTATACACTACACCTACACTATACACTATACACTACACTATACACTACACTATACACTACATTAAACATTACTATACACTACACTATACACTACACTATACACTACACTATACACTACATTAAACACTACTATACACTATTATACACTATACACTACACTATACACTACACTATACACTACACCTACACTATACACTATACACTACACTATACACTACGCTATACACTACATTAAACACTACTATACACTACACTATACACTACACTATACACTACACTATACACTACACTATACACCCCCCTCACCCCCCTCACCCCCCTCACCACCACCCTCACCACCCTCACCCCCTCACCCCCCTCACCCCCCTCACCACCCTCACCACCACCCTCACCACCCTCACCACCACCCTCACCACCACCCTCACCACCCTCACCACCACCCTCACCACCACCCTCACCACCACCCTCACCACCACCCTCACCACCACCTCACCACCACCCTCACCACCACCCTCACCACCCTCACCACCACCCTCACCACCACCCTCACCACCCTCACCACCACCCTCACCACCACCCTCACCACCACCCTCACCACCACCCTCACCACCACCTCACCACCACCCTCACCACCACCCTCACCACCACCCTCACCACCACCTCACCACCACCCTCACCACCACCTCACCACCACCCTCACCACCCTCACCACCACCCTCACCACCCTCACCACCACCCTCACCACCCTCACCACCACCCTCACCACCACCCTCACCACCACCCTCACCACCACCCTCACCACCACCCTCACCACCACCCTCACCACCCTCACCACCACCCTCACCACCCTCACCACCCTCACCACCATCACCACCCTCACCACCACCCTCACCACCACCCTCACCACCACCCTCACCACCACCCTCACCACCCTCACCACCACCCTCACCACCACCCTCACCACCCTCACCACCACCCTCACCACCACCCTCACCACCCTCACCACCCTCACCACCACCCTCACCACCCTCACCACCCTCACCACCCTCACCACCCTCACCACCACCCTCACCACCCTCACCACCACCATCACCACCCTCACCACCCTCACCACCACCCTCACCACCACCCTCACCACCCTCACCACCCTCACCACCACCCTCACCACCACCCTCACCACCCTCACCACCACCCTCACCACCCTCACCACCACCCTCACCACCACCTCACCACCACCCTCACCACCACCTCACCACCACCCTCACCACCCTCACCACCACCCTCACCACCCTCACCACCACCCTCACCACCACCCTCACCACCACCCTCACCACCCTCACCACCCTCACCACCATCACCACCCTCACCACCCTCACCACCACCCTCACCACCACCCTCACCACCCTCACCACCACCCTCACCACCCTCACCACCACCCTCACCACCACCTCACCACCACCCTCACCACCACCTCACCACCACCCTCACCACCCTCACCACCACCCTCACCACCCTCACCACCACCCTCACCACCACCCTCACCACCACCCTCACCACCCTCACCACCCTCACCACCATCACCACCCTCACCACCCTCACCACCACCCTCACCACCCTCACCACCCTCACCACCCTCACCACCACCCTCACCACCACCCTCACCACCACCCTCACCACCACCTCACCACCACCCTCACCACCAGCTGCTGTGCCTGCTGCTGCTGTTCGTGATCGCCTCCTGCACCTTGGTCTACTTTGACGAGTTACACAGCCGAGTTCATCTCGCCTACTCACACCTGGGGTACTCGTCTGCCCAGCACGCCCTGGGACAGAGATACCTACAGGGTGAGTACCTGGTACCTGTGGTGAGTATCTGTGGTGAGTGAGTGGTGAGTGAGTGGTGAGTGAGTGGTGAGTGTCTGTGGTGAGTGAGTGGTGAGTATCTGTGGGCATCTCGCCTACTCACACCTGGGGTACTCGTCTGCCCAGCACGCCCTGGGACAGAGATACCTACAGGGTGAGTACCTGGTACCTGTGGTGAGTATCTGTGGTGAGTGGTGAGTGAGTGGTGAGTATCTGTGGTGAGTGAGTGGTGAGTATCTGTGGGCATCTCGCCTACTCACACCTGGGGTACTCGTCTGCCCAGCACGCGCTGGGACAGAGATACCTGCAGGGTGAGTATCTGTGGTGAGTGGTGAGTATCTGTGGTGAGTGGTGAGTATCTGTGGTGAGGGGTGAGTGAGTGGTGAGTGTCTGTGGTGAGTGGTGAGTGAGTGGTGAGTATCTGTGGTGAGTGAGTGGTGACTGTCTGTGGTGAGTGAGTGGTGAGTATCTGTGGGCATCTCGCCTACTCACACCTGGGGTACTCGTCTGCCCAGCACGCCCTGGGACAGAGATACCTGCAGGGTGAGTATCTGGTACCTGTGGTGAGTGTCTGTGGTGAGTGGTGAGTGAGTGGTGAGTGAGTGGTGAGTATCTGTGGTGAGTGAGTGGTGAGTATCTGTGGGCATCTCGCCTACTCACACCTGGGGTACTCGTCTGCCCAGCACGCCCTGGGACAGAGATACCTGCAGGGTGAGTATCTGGTACCTGTGGTGAGTGTCTGTGGTGAGTGGTGAGTGAGTGGTGAGTGAGTGGTGAGTATCTGTGGTGAGTGAGTGGTGAGTATCTGTGGGCATCTCGCCTACTCACACCTGGGGTACTCGTCTGCCCAGCACGCGCTGGGACAGAGATACCTGCAGGGTGAGTACCTGGTACCTGTGGTGAGTATCTGTGGTGAGTGGTGAGTGAGTGGTGAGTATCTGTGGTGAGTGGTGAGTGAGTGGTGAGTATCTGTGGTGAGTGAGTGGTGAGTATCTGTGGTGAGTGAGTGGTGAGTGAGTGGTGAGTGAGTGGTGAGTATCTGTGGTGAGTGGTGAGTATCTGTGGTGAGTGGTGAGTGAGTGGTGAGTATCTGTGGTGAGTGAGTGGTGAGTGTCTGTGGTGAGTGAGTGGTGAGTATCTGTGGTGAGTGAGTGGTGAGTGAGTAGTGAGTATCTGTGGTGAGTGAGTGGTGAGTATCTGTGGAGAGTGCTGAGTGAGTGGTGAGTATCTGTGGTGAGTGGTGAGTGTCTGTGGTGAGTGGTGAGTGTCTCTGGTGAGTGAGTGGTGAGTATCGCTGGTGAGTGCTGAGTGAGTGGTGAGTATCTCTGGTGAGTGCTGAGTGAGTGGTGACTATCTGTGGTGAGTGGTGAGTATCTGTGGTGAGTTGTGAGTGAGTGGTGAGTGAGTGGTGAGTATCTGTGGTGAGTTGTGAGTGAGTGGTGAGTGAGTGGTGAGTATCTGTGGTGAGTGAGTGGTGAGTGAGTGGTGAGTATCTGTGGTGAGTGGTGAGTGAGTGGTGAGTATCTGTGGTGAGTGGTGAGTGAGTGGTGAGTGTCTGTGGTGAGTGGTGAGTGAGTGGTGAGTGTCTGTGGTGAGTGGTGAGTGTCTGTGGTGAGTGGTGAGTGAGTGGTGAGTGTCTGTGGTGAGTGAGTGGTGAGTGAGTGGTGAGTATCTGTGGTGAGTGGTGAGTGAGTGGTGAGTATCTGTGGTGAGTGGTGAGTATCTGTGGTGAGTGAGTGGTGAGTGTCTGTGGTGAGTATCTGTGGTGAGTGAGTGGTGAGTGTCTGTGGTGAGTATCTGTGGTGAGTGAGTGGTGAGTGGTGAGTGCTGAGTGAGTGGTGAGTGAGTGGTGAGTGTCTGTGGTGAGTGAGTGGTGAGTGAGTGGTGAGTGAGTGGTGAGTATCTGTGGTGAGTTGTGAGTGAGTGGTGAGTGAGTGGTGAGTGTCTGTGGTGAGTGAGTGGTGAGTATCTCTGGTGAGTGGTGAGTGAGTGGTGAGTATCTGTGGGCATCTCGCCTACTCACACCTGGGGTACTCGTCTGCCCAGCACACCCTGGGACAGAGATACCTGCAGGGTGAGTATCTGTGGTGAGTGGTGAGTATCTGTGGTGAGTGAGTGGTGAGTGTCTGTGGTGAGTGTCTGTGGTGAGTGAGTGGTGAGTGAGTGGTGAGTATCTGTGGTGAGTGGTGAGTGAGTGGTGAGTATCTGTGGTGAGTGGTGAGTATCTGTGGTGAGTGGTGAGTATCTGTGGTGAGTGGTGAGTATCTGTGGTGAGTGAGTGGTGAGTGAGTGGTGAGTATCTGTGGTGAGTGGTGAGTGAGTATCTGTGGTGAGTGGTGAGTGAGTGGTGAGTGTCTGTGGTGAGTGAGTGGTGAGTATCTGTGGTGAGTGCTGAGTGAGTGGTGAGTATCTGTGGTGAGTGGTGAGTGAGTGGTGAGTGAGTGGTGAGTGGTGAGTATCTGTGGTGAGTGAGTGGTGAGTATCTGTGGTGAGTGGTGAGTATCTGTGGTGAGTGCTGAGTGAGTGGTGAGTATCTGTGTTGAGTGAGTGGTGAGTATCTGTGGTGAGTGGTGAGTGACTGGTGAGTATCTGTGGTGAGTGAGTGGTGAGTATCTGTGGTGAGTGGTGAGTGAGTGGTGAGTGAGTGGTGAGTATCTGTGTTGAGTGAGTGGTGAGTATCTGTGGTGAGTGCTGAGTGAGTGGTGAGTATCTGTGGTGAGTGAGTGGTGAGTATCTGTGGTGAGTGAGTGGTGAGTATCTGTGGTGAGTGAGTGGTGAGTATCTCTGGTGAGTGGTGAGTGAGTGGTGAGTGAGTGGTGAGTGAGTGGTGAGTGAGTATCTGTGGTGAGTGAGTGGTGAGTGTCTGTGGTGAGTGAGTGGTGAGTATCTGTGGTGAGTGAGTGGTGAGTGTCTGTGGTGAGTGAATGGTGAGTATCTGTGGTGAGTGGTGAGTGAGTGGTGAGTGAGTGGTGAGTATCTGTGGTGAGTGAGTGGTGAGTGAGTGGTGAGTATCTGTGGTGAGTTGTGAGTGAGTGGTGAGTGAGTGGTGAGTGTCTGTGGTGAGTGAGTGGTGAGTGTCTGTGGTGAGTGGTGAGTGAGTGGTGAGTATCTGTGGTGAGTGAGTGGTGGGTATCTGTGGTGAGTGGTGAGTGAGTGGTGAGTGAGTGGTGAGTATCTGTGTTGAGTGAGTGGTGAGTATCTGTGGTGAGTGCTGAGTGAGTGGTGAGTATCTGTGGTGAGTGAGTGGTGAGTATCTGTGGTGAGTGAGTGGTGAGTATCTGTGGTGAGTGAGTGGTGAGTATCTCTGGTGAGTGGTGAGTGAGTGGTGAGTGAGTGGTGAGTGAGTGGTGAGTGAGTATCTGTGGTGAGTGAGTGGTGAGTGTCTGTGGTGAGTGAGTGGTGAGTATCTGTGGTGAGTGAGTGGTGAGTGTCTGTGGTGAGTGAATGGTGAGTATCTGTGGTGAGTGGTGAGTGAGTGGTGAGTGAGTGGTGAGTGTCTGTGGTGAGTGAGTGGTGAGTGAGTGGTGAGTATCTGTGGTGAGTTGTGAGTGAGTGGTGAGTGAGTGGTGAGTGTCTGTGGTGAGTGAGTGGTGAGTGTCTGTGGTGAGTGGTGAGTGAGTGGTGAGTATCTGTGGTGAGTGAGTGGTGAGTATCTGTGGTGAGTGGTGAGTGAGTGGTGAGTGAGTGGTGAGTATCTGTGTTGAGTGAGTGGTGAGTATCTGTGGTGAGTGCTGAGTGAGTGGTGAGTATCTGTGGTGAGTATCTGTGGTGAGTGAGTGGTGAGTATCTGTGGTGAGTGAGTGGTGAGTATCTCTGGTGAGTGGTGAGTGAGTGGTGAGTGAGTGGTGAGTGAGTGGTGAGTGAGTATCTGTGGTGAGTGAGTGGTGAGTGTCTGTGGTGAGTGAGTGGTGAGTATCTGTGGTGAGTGAGTGGTGAGTGTCTGTGGTGAGTGAATGGTGAGTATCTGTGGTGAGTGGTGAGTGAGTGGTGAGTGAGTGGTGAGTGTCTGTGGTGAGTGAGTGGTGAGTGAGTGGTGAGTATCTGTGGTGAGTTGTGAGTGAGTGGTGAGTGAGTGGTGAGTGTCTGTGGTGAGTGAGTGGTGAGTGTCTGTGGTGAGTGGTGAGTGAGTGGTGAGTGTCTGTGGTGAGTGAGTGGTGAGTATCTGTGGTGAGTGAGTGGTGAGTGTCTGTGGTGAGTGAATGGTGAGTATCTGTGGTGAGTGGTGAGTGAGTGGTGAGTGAGTGGTGAGTGTCTGTGGTGAGTGAGTGGTGAGTGAGTGGTGAGTATCTGTGGTGAGTTGTGAGTGAGTGGTGAGTGAGTGGTGAGTGTCTGTGGTGAGTGAGTGGTGAGTGTCTGTGGTGAGTGAGTGGTGAGTATCTGTGGGCATCTCGCCTACTCACACCTGGGGTACTCGTCTGCCCAGCACGCCCTGGGACAGAGATACCTACAGGGTGAGTATCTGTGGTGAGTGGTGAGTATCTGTGGTGAGTGAGTGGTGAGTGTCTGTGGTGAGTGGTGAGTATCTGTGGTGAGTGCTGAGTGAGTGGTGAGTGAGTGGTGAGTGAGTGGTGAGTGTCTGTGGTGAGTGGTGAGTATCTGTGGTGAGTGCTGAGTGAGTGGTGAGTATCTGTGGTAAGTGAGTGGTGAGTATCTGTGGTGAGTGAGTGGTGAGTATCTGTGGTGAGTGAGTGGTGAGTATCTGTGGTGAGTGAGTGGTGAGTATCTCTGGTGAGTGGTGAGTGAGTGGTGAGTGAGTGGTGAGTGAGTGGTGAGTGAGTATCTGTGGTGAGTGAGTGGTGAGTGTCTGTGGTGAGTGGTGAGTGAGTGGTGAGTGGTGAGTGAGTGGTGAGTATCTGTGGTGAGTGGTGAGTGAGTGGTGAGTATCTGTGGTGAGTGAGTGGTGAGTGTCTGTGGTGAGTGAGTGGTGAGTATCTGTGGTGAGTGAGTGGTGAGTGAGTAGTGAGTATCTGTGGTGAGTGAGT